CCCCCCCCCGAAGGAGCCACCAGAATAACCTGGGTCATCGCTAGTTGTCTATGGGTTTTGATATTTAGCTGCCCCATTAGCATTTAACCGCCCTATTCTAGTGCCCACAAAGCTGATATCCACTCCTGAAATATAATGCTTAAGAACTTTATTTAACATATTCACAGCATAGACTCCGGGCTTGCCAATCCCTTTTAGCAATTCAAGGTAGATCCATTTGCAACACAGTGGAAAGGAATTTGAGCAGCAGATACACTATATTGCCAAAAGTATCGGTCGCCTGCCTCTACATGCACATGAACTTTAATGGCATCCCTGTCTTAGTCCGTAGGGTTCAATATTGAGTTGGCCCGCCCTTTGCAGCTTCAACTCTTCTGGGAAGGCTGTCCACAAGGTTTAGGAGTGTGTCTATGGGAATCTTTGACCATTCTTCCAGAAGTGCATTTGTGAGGTCAGGACTCTGCAGGGCAGTAAAGTTCCTCCACCCCAAACTCGCTCCTCCATGTCTTTATGAACCTTGCTTTGTGCATTGGTGCGCAGTCATGTTGGAACAGGAAGGAGCCATCCCCAAACTGTTCCCACAAAGTTGGGATCATGAAATTGTCCAAAATATCTTGGTCTGCTGATGCCTGAAGAGTTCCCTTCACTGGAACTAAGGGGCCAAGCCCAACCCCTGAAAAACAACCCCACACCATAATCCCCCCTCCACCAAACTTTACACTTGACACAATGCAGTCAGTCAAGTACCGTTCTCCTGGCAAACGCCAAACCCAGACACGTCCATCGGATTGCCAGATAGAGAAGTGTGATTCATCACTCCAGAGAACACGTCTCCACTTCTCTAGAGTCCAGTGGCGGAGTGCTCTACACCACTGCATCCGATGCTTTGCATTGCACTTGGCCATGGAAACCCATTCCATGAAGCTCTCTATGCACTGTTGTTGTGCCAATCTGAAGGCCATACGAAGTTTGGAGGTCTGTAGCTATTGACTCTGCAGGCAGTTGGCGACTTCTGCGCACTTGAGCATGTGCTGACCCCGCTCTGTCATTTTACGTGGCCTACAACTTCGTGGCTGTATTCAAGGTAGATCCATTTGCAACACAGTGGAAAGGAATTTGAGCAGCAGATACACTATATTGCCAAAAGTATCGGTCGCCTGCCTCTACATGCACATGAACTTTAATGGCATCCCTGTCTTAGTCCGTAGGGTTCAATATTGAGTTGGCCCGCCCTTTGCAGCTTCAACTCTTCTGGGAAGGCTGTCCACAAGGTTTAGGAGTGTGTCTATGGGAATCTTTGACCATTCTTCCAGAAGTGCATTTGTGAGGTCAGGACTCTGCAGGGCAGTAAAGTTCCTCCACCCCAAACTCGCTCCTCCATGTCTTTATGAACCTTGCTTTGTGCATTGGTGCGCAGTCATGTTGGAACAGGAAGGAGCCATCCCCAAACTGTTCCCACAAAGTTGGGATCATGAAATTGTCCAAAATATCTTGGTCTGCTGATGCCTGAAGAGTTCCCTTCACTGGAACTAAGGGGCCAAGCCCAACCCCTGAAAAACAACCCCACACCATAATCCCCCCTCCACCAAACTTTACACTTGACACAATGCAGTCAGTCAAGTACCGTTCTCCTGGCAAACGCCAAACCCAGACACGTCCATCGGATTGCCAGATAGAGAAGTGTGATTCATCACTCCAGAGAACACGTCTCCACTTCTCTAGAGTCCAGTGGCGGAGTGCTCTACACCACTGCATCCGATGCTTTGCATTGCACTTGGCCATGGAAACCCATTCCATGAAGCTCTCTATGCACTGTTGTTGTGCCAATCTGAAGGCCATACGAAGTTTGGAGGTCTGTAGCTATTGACTCTGCAGGCAGTTGGCGACTTCTGCGCACTTGAGCATGTGCTGACCCCGCTCTGTCATTTTACGTGGCCTACAACTTCGTGGCTGAGTTGCTGCTGTTCCCAGTTGCTTCCACTTTGTTATAATAGTACTAACAGGTATTTAGTAGCAAGGAAATTCCACGGAACACCTGAATTAAATGATTTGGAGGAGTGTCCCAATACTTTTGGCAATATAGTGTAAGTAGGGATGAGCACAGATCCTTAACACAAAATCACCAGACTTGCTCCTGAGGTTCACTATGTTCGGGGTACCTCCAGCAGCCATCAGCTTTCCTGGTTCTCCTCCTCTCTCAATGACAGAGGCCTGCTCTAGAATTGAGGCCTAGCAGTGCCTTTTCCACACTCCAGCATCCCCACCCCCGGGCATAGCCTGGGGGGTGGCTGCACCTCTAGTCCATGGCTGGTCCCAGAACTAAGCACATGACAATTCCCATGAGTATATAAACACTATGGCATGCAACACAGGTTGAGAGAAACCCAGCGATTGGCTGGTGAATTGCACACACTCACAGTGTGCCTCATTGGCTGTCCCACACTACAGCAGAGTCACACCCCACACAAGCAAGTTCAATCAATGCCAGAACACCTGGAATTAACCAGATAAATGCCAACTATAATTCAGCCAGGCTGACTACAGCTCTGGCAACCACAAAATTTCAAGTAGCCACCTCACAAAAGGTGATGGGGCTACACTTGGCTGTGCTTTTAGACTCCTATTTGGCTAAATGCTCTTATG